CCTAATAGGTGCTACCAGTCCTTGACCACCTGCTGTGTGCCAGCATTGAACTTAGTACTTTCACTCTTATGCAAAGAGTACCTTCAATGTTTGAGCACCTACTGCATGCCTAGCACTGTCCCGGGTGATGCCCTTGCCCTGGTGGTGGGAGCTAAGTTATCCAGCCCGTCCTCTGTGTTCTGCCTGTGCCATAAGGTCAGAGCTTCTGCCCTGTGCTGTTTCAGTTCCGCCCACCTTGGAGGTTACTCAACAGCCCACGATGGCAGGGAGCCCGGTGAACGTCACCTGCCGGGTGACAAGGTTCTACCCCCGGAGCCTACAGCTGACCTGGTTGGAGAACGGAAACGTGTCCCGAACAGAAATGGCCTCGACCCCCATAGAGAGCAAGGATGGGACCTACAGCTGGACCAGCTGGCTCCTGGTGAACTCATCTGCCCACAGGGAGGACGTGAAGCTCACCTGCCAGGTGGAGCATGACGGGCAGCCGCCGGTCAGCAGAAGCCACGTCCTGGTGGTCTCCACCCACCAGAAGGAGCAGGGCGCTGGTGCCACCCCTGGTGAGGCCTCCACTGTAGCTGACTCAGCTCTTTTAAAATTTTATCTCCATTTTATCCTTTTTTTTTTTAATGTTAAAAGTAGTCTATGTGCTTATTATAGAATAATCTGGAAGTCTATAAACATAAAGCAGAATTTTAAAGTCAGATCAATTCCCCCAAATTCCACACTCTACCAGTGACCACTGGTAAGAGTTTGGCGCACATCTTGGTATATCTTTCGACATAAACATGTATTACGTGAGGAGAGGAGGGAGGGCGGGAGATGACCTGTTCACGCCTCTTGCCTTCTTCACCTGACAGTCATTATGCCCCTGTTCCCACCCGCTCCTGCCTACTCTTTCTGACTCTGCCTGGTTTCCCCAGCTGCCATGGGCAGTCTGCCCCCCTGGGAGTGGGGATGGGGCAGTCAGGGCATTTGCAGCTTGTCTCAACTACAGTCAATACTACAGTGAAGGCCGGGCACGGTGGCTCACACCTGTAATCCCAGCACTTTAGGAGGCCAGGGCGGGACGATCACATGAGACCAGGAGTTCAAGCCTAGCCTGGGAAACATAGCAAGATCCTATCTCTACCAAAAATTTAAAAAACTAGCTGGGCATGGTGGCGCATGCCTGTAGTCCCACCTACTTGGGAGGCTGAGGCAGGAGGATCACTTAAGCCCAGGAGTTTGAGGTTGCTGTGATCTATGATCATGCCACTGCACTCCAGCCTGAGCGAAAGAGGGAGACCCTGTCTCAACAAAACAAAAACATTAACAACAGAAATACTGGAGTGGACAACCTTGTGCATGTTCCACCCCACAAGCAACTGTTTCTGGGGGTGGGACCATCTCCCAAGGAGCTTTCTAGGCCAAAGCACATACGCATTTACGGTGACAATAACACTGCTCTCTTCTGAGAGCACGAGGTGTCATTTCCTCAGCCCCCTCCAGTGTGTTGTCAATGTATGTCTCTTCTTTTTTCTAATGGCTGCCCCTAATTGGCATTTCAGTGCCACCATGGAGTGTTCCATCACCTGTCATCAGCGTGGCCGGTGCCTTGTACGTAGTAGAAACCCTTGAATGGCTTTGAACAGAGGACATTTCTTTCCTTGTTGCACCCTCAGGGAGGCTCTAAAGAAGCCTTGGGGCCGTGTCTAAGTGGCCCTTTGACTTCACTGATGCTGGGTTTTTACGGGCCGTGCAGCGCACCAGGAGCCAGGACGTGTGGATTTCCACTCTGGCTTTGTTGCACACTTGCTGTGTGACTTTGCACAAGTCAGTGCCCCTCTCTGGGCCTCTGCCTGTTTGTGGCAGTGTTTAAAGAGATGAGCTTTGTGACCCTCAGCTCTGCGTCTCAGCTGGTAGGGCCACGACTGTCTTATCCAGCATCTGCTGGTGCCCAGCAGACACTCAGTACATACTTTGAGAGAGGATGAAAGCATTGGTTGGCTGGTTGATTGGTTGGTTGGTTAGTTAGTTAGGTAATCCTCAGAGCTAGTCAGTGGGGTAGAGATTACTGTTGGCCCCAGTAACAGAAGAGGATGCCAGGGTATGGGGGGAGGTTTAACTGACTTATCCAAGGCCACACAGCTAGTCAGGGGCATTGATTTGAACCCACATGTCAGCCCCCAACTAACACCGTGCTGTGGTCTGGGATCCCCGACCGGCGCCCTGGGCCAGCCACAGGTGTGCTGGTTCGGAGCTCCTGTGCCGACTCCTGAGCTCAGCATGCACGGCCCAGGTCCCGGGCACAGATCACGGGTCAGCCCCTGAGCTCTGCAGAGCCTGGCAGCTGGCCGGCACGTCCACCACTCCTCGCTGTCCCCCTTTGCCCCCACCCGGTGTGACACCCGGTTGCTGATTCAGAGTTTCATTTGGATCTGTGCTGCCCTTGTGGCCGCTCTGTGGTTCACTCCAGATGAGAAGGAACGTGTTTCTCTTCCTCAGGAGAGAGATTTCTGCTCACATCCTGCAGCTGGGCTTCCTCTGTGGCTGTCAGTAGCAAGGATTTTCTCTCCTGGCACCACAGCGTGGCTTTTGTGCTGCTTGTGGATGGCCCTCGGGGGCAAGCGTGTGCAGACCGTGCGTGTGCCCATGTGGCTTGAGACATCCGAGGAGGCCCAGGCAGATGTTCTTGGTTAATGATGCCCGCCCAGTAGTGAAAAGGAGCGGTGGGTTTTGGTTTTCTCTGTTCTTAATCTGCGTACGCGAAGCTGCTGTTCTGTGTGGTCCCCAGGCGTGTCTAACAGTAAGGACTGGAGCATCTACATCGTGGTGAGCATCGTGTGCGCCTTGCTGGTGGCTCTGCTGATCGCGGCCCTCTACCTCTTCCGGATCAGACAGAACAAAGGTGGGCACCTTCCCTTCCTTCTCCTTAAGCATTTGCCCCTTGACCGTCCTGCGGGCAGAGGCCGCTAGGAGCTTTGGCCTATAGTAGCTTAAACCAAAGGACATCAGTGACTTCCAGTAGCAAGAGATCCAGAGGTAGCGGTGCCAGGGCTGGGGCAGCAGCTTCACCACGTTGGAGTCTGGGCGTGTCACTCCTTGGCATTTCTCTCGTGGTTATAAGATGGTCATCACTGCCCTGGACCCCATGTCCTCCCAGGGCCACTGCTCAGCAGAGAAGCAAGGGAGCTGCCAGGGTGGCAAGAGGGAACTTGGGGACCCTGCTTACCGGTCTCAGGGAGGAAACCGTCTTTCCCAGGAGCCACCTGGCAAATCTGCCTTCCTCTTACACGCTCAGGTCATGTGCCCGGCCCCAGACAGGAGGCTGGAGCAAAGGGACGATGACACACGCCCTCCAAGGTGGGAGGATTGAGTGGGTGACTGCATGGAAGATGTTAGGAAAGTTCCTGGCATACAACAAGTGCTCAGTACTTGTCAGCTCCTGTTGTCAGTATTGTATGTGAGCCCAGAAACATGAGCCACCTCCCTGGAAGGTCCCCCTCACAGTGGCAAGGTGCGCATAACCTTTACTGCATGGCAGGAGGGCACAGGTTCAAACCCAAGACACATGTCCCCCTTGTTTGTGCGTGTGCATCACGCGTGTGTGTCTGTGTGTGTTGGGGGGCCGAGGGGGTGTTGCTGTGGCAAGGACTCGGGCTTTGATGTCGGACAAACCTGGGTTTCAGACCCTTGATATATGGTGACTAAACAATCAGTTTGGCCTCCATGAGCCTCAGTTCCTCATCTGTAAAATGGGTTTAGCAATGCCTATCTTGGAGAATAGTTATGAGACCCAAATAAGCTCATGTGAAATAGCAGGTCTGATAACATTCTAGAACCTCAATAAATACATATTCTCTTTCCCGCTCTTGGAGGAGAAAATTTTCAGCTGGTATTTCTGAAACCTTTTTTACTGTAAGCAATAGAAATGCATTTCACATCTCAACCCAACACACACACACACACACACACACACACACACACACACACACACCTTTATATGTAAAATTGAAACACTGGTATTTTCTTTTTCATCATATTCTATTCTGTTTTCTATTAAAAATGCTGGTTGTGAGCTGCTGCGAGCCACAGCCTGCAAAGTGCTATCCTGGGCTGCCCTTCTGCAGCCGGGCGCCCAGCTGAGCTTGGACAGGCGTGTCGTGCAGTAGCCACACATCCCTTCTGCGCTGCCTCCCCCTCTGCCCCCAAGTTTCCTCCCTCCTGCGCTGGCTGCAGGGACTCTGCTGGGAGGTGCTGGCCTCAAGCTCCCATCTGGGAGGGCTGGTGTCAGGCCCTGCCTCTCCAGATCTGCAGGGCGTCCCGCCAGGGGAGCTACCCAGTGGCTTCCCTAAAGTTCTTGCAGAGCCCTACACAGAAAGGCCCCTCCTTAGGGTGGGAAATCAGGTCCCTTGCCCACCAAGGGTGACAAGCCAGCCTGTGGGCTGTGGGATGGGACATTCACGGTGGCTGTTAGTGAACTCTCAGCCCTGGGCACCAAGCCAGGCTCCTGGCACACGCGAGCTCACTACTGTGGGGTTAGGTGCTGCAGAGGAGGAGTGGGGTTTGGAAAGCTGCCCACGCTGGGGAAGGCCGTCCAGCCTGAGTGACGGGTCTGTGTGCAGAGCCCAGCTCCCAAGCACAGGCTCCGGTGACAGGGACAGCTAGCATTCACTCAGCAATTCTGACACTGCTCACAGGGATTTACCTGTAATGACGCAGTCAGTCCTTACCACAGGCCTCACAGGTGATATTACTAACCCCATTTTACAGATGTGGAGACTGAGCCTTGGAAAAGTTATAAAGCTTGCTCAAGGCCTGACAGTTAGTAGATGGTAGAGCCCAGATTCAAACCCAGGGACCACATTCAGGGCCACTCTGTACATCACCTCCCTCCACCCTAATCAGATGCCCCTTCTCCCTCTCTGGGCCTTGGAGGGGTCCTGCCATCCTCCACCCCTCAGGACTCACAGTACAATGTCCTGATTTCAGCTCAGCACTTAACAGCTGTGTGAGCCAAGCTCACATAATCCCTTTGGTATAAAGTCGGGGGGACGGGTGTCCTGTCCCTGGATCCCCAGAGACGACTTATGTCCAGCACTTTGTACTCTTGTCAGCCTCCACTCAGACGTCAGATTCGGAGCTGCAGCCTCCCGGCTGGCCGCAGCTCACCTGAAGACCCGGTGCCTGGCCAGGCACCGAGCGTTAACCTGGCAGCGAGGATCCTCACGCCACAGCAGCCTCCTGCCCGTAGCAGTGCATGTTGCTTTTTAATTACAATTTCACAGCAAAGTGGGAGTCAATGGCTGCTGAACCCTGGAGGCTTCTCTGTGGGTTGCCCCATATCACAAGTTTAAAACCCCTGAGCCAGAGGAACACTTTCTTTCTTCCCGAGGTCCTTTTTTGGAAAGTGGCGATGTAAATAAATGTATGTTCAGCCCAACCCTGCAAGTTATAGAAGCTCAGAGAGGGCAATGGACCCACCCAGGGTCACACAGCGGGTGAGTTGGTGGCAGACCTGAGGTCACATCTGATCCCCAACTCTCAGCCCTGCTAGAATCTGTTCTCCACAGTGCAAGGCCCAGACTGGAGGGTCTCCGCAGAGGTTTGTGGTTGAATGGGGGTGAGGCTGAGACAGAGGAAGGGCAGTTGGTGCCTCCCAGGCTAAAGGCTACTTTTGGACCCTCGGCAATTCCAGAAGTAGGAAAGCAGGAAGGCCTAGCCTGCCCCCCAGGGGCTTCCTTGATGGGAGAGAATGGACCACCCCACTGCATGGGTTTGGGGGTTTCCTTGGTTCCAAGGATCTGATTTCATTAATTCCTCCCCACATCCCTGGAGGCAAACCTTTGCCCCCAAAAAAGTTACATAAGAAAACTGTGCTGCTGCTCAAACAACTGGCTTTTGTTTCTTTTCTCTTTCAGCCAAGGGTTCCACTTCTTCTACAAGGTAAGTGTATCATGGGCCCAGGACGCTTTCGCAGTTAGCATCTGGGTGTGTGACAGCCCCCGAAGCTGCAACGCGCGGGCCACGCCCACTGACCCTCCGCCTGTGCCACTCAGCCTTTCTAGTTCTTTCCAAACCGATTCACGCCAGGTTTGTTTTTAATCACTGTCCCACATAAGGGGGTCTCAGTGCACAGGGGCAATGATTTCTTGCCTGCTGTCCGCAGACAGCGAGGCCCCCATCTAATCCCTTGTGGTCTGCGGCAGAGACCTCCAGAGAGCTCTGTCCTCACGACATCCTGCACATGCCTCCAGATGGATGCTCCCCAGATCCAAGTTGTATACTTTGCTCTTTCCTTTGTTTAGTAAATATTTATGAGTACCTTGTTGTGGCGCAGCCTGGGAACGCCGGGGTCAGTAGCATAGAATCTGTGCCCTCCCGAAGCTCGCAGCTGGTCAGAGGCTCGGCAGTGACATTACATCACAGCCGGCGTGTTAGCTTGCGGTGATCCGCTGCTGAATCCCTACTGTGTGGGTCAGCTGGTGACACAGCAGCGAACAGGCATCAGCCCAGGTCTTCATGAGTCTCAGACGCCAGTGAGGGAAGCAGGCAGCTGGCATTGAACCATCCATAACGTCAGGTGGTGACGTCTCCTACGCAGCAAGCGGGTGGAGGTGAATGGGGGTGGGCAGCTGTCTTAGGCAGAGGAAGGGGACGCCCCTCAAGAGGAGATAGGAGCAGGGACCTGAAGCCAGGGGCTGTGGCGGGAGGAGCAGGCAGAGCAAGGGCCCTGCGGCAGGATGTGCACAAAGGAACGGAGCAGGCCTGTGTGCTGGGCCGGACGGAAGGAGGGGAGGGCAGGAGACAAGGTCAGGGAGACGCAGGTCCTCACTCCCTTTGCAGAAGCCCAGGCAGCCAGATGTGTCACGAATCTTTTAGTAGAAAGGCTTTTTCAGCTTTTAGGAAGGGCTCTGATGTTTGCCCCCAGCAGAGCAGGGGCAGCACCCCAGCATCTGCCATGTGAACGTGCCTGCATGGGACATGCGGACATGCGCACTGAGGGTGATAAATAAATACAGCTATAAATAGCTTCGTGTTGGTTCAGGGCAGGTTTCACCACCAAATGGGTCGTGTCAATCTCTCGATCTTTTTTAGCGCTGTATGGATTTCAGAATCACAGCAGGGACAGAGGATCTGGAGTGGGGCCAGGGGTCTGGGGCTGTGGCTGTCAGATGCACTCAGGGTTTTGCCCGCAGCGGGATGGTGGGCCACAGGATATACGTGACCTGACTTTGTTTGAAAGTGTCACCTGGCTGCGTGTGGAGCCCAGGCTGTAGGAGGTGAGGGTGGAGGCAGAGAGGCCGGTGTGGAGGCAGAGAGGCCGGTGTGGAGGCTACTGCAGCTGTCCAAGCAGGAGAGGATGGTGGCCTGGGCCAAGGTTGGGGATGGGCTGAGAGAAAATCAGATTCTGGATGTCTTTTGAAGGTTGAGCCAAGAGGACTTGCAGATGGATTGGATTTAAAGTCAAGGACAACCTCAAGGCTGGGGGCAGTGGGTGCTGTGTCCCGAGTGGGGGGTGTAAGGGATGGTTGTAGTGAGGCTGCAAATACCAGGCAGAGTGGCTGCACATAGCGGGAGCATCTCCCCTGCAGAGGGGGCTCTGGGAAGCATCAGGTGCCCCTCTGCCGCCCAGCAGCCCGGTCTGAGCCCTGCCCAACCTCCCAGCCTCCTCCTCCCTTAGCAAGCGGAGCCGCTGCTGCAGCAGGTCGGGGCTCTTCACTGCCTTCCGGGGAAACGTGTTCTCCTACAGTCATGCCCGTGCCTGCCACACTCCCACACCTCGCACACTCTTCCAAGGACAAGATTCGCTTCCATCCTTGGCCAAAAAACCTTCAGGGGCTCCCTGGGGCCCTCAAGATAAAGTCCAAATGCCTGTGCCCTGCTGACTTTAACAGTTTCACTTCTGGCCACCCCCTGTCCTCGCATATGGGGGCTCAGCCACACCGTGGTCCCTTCCCTCCTCCCACTGGCTGGGCCCTTGCTCTCCCTTCTCCTCGCCCTCGTGCACTGGCCTCTCCCCTGTGAGGTGCTCCCCACCCCTGCTCGCCTCCACCTAGGGTCCCATAGCTCCAGGGCAGCGGGCACAGTGGGCTCTGCGAGCGGCACCCCCTGGAGCTGGGCAACATGGAGGCCAGAGTGGGCCCCGTCCTTTCACCCGGGCACCCCTGGCTCTTCCTTCTGAGCTCAGCCAGGCATCACCTCATGGTTAGGGGGCTTCTTGTGAGCCCACCTGCTGTGTTCAAAGTGTCTCTGCACCTGTCCCCATTTTATAATTCACCCCTCTTAGGGCAGGGACTGTGTCCCTCATGTTCACTGCTAGTAGCTGCTGAACTTGGCACCACGGCTGGGTTGGAATAGGTGCTCGGTAAAGCACCTATTGCACGAATGAACGAACGAATGAATGAATGAATGAATGCCATCCCAGACCACTGCAGCACTCCCCAGTCTCTTCCTTCTCTGAATCCCTGAAACGCTTCCTCAGTGGCTACACAGCCCTAGATCTAGAAGGAACTGCTTCTTTGTTTTGTTTTTGTCTGGTTTTTTTCCCCACTTCTCCTATCTCCCCAATTAGACAATGAGTTCCTGGAAGAAAAGGATGTTGTCAGTAATAATAATGACAGCAGCAGCCACCATTTATTGAGCACTTACTGTGCTCCTGGCACCGGCTGCGCCTTTGCATATGTTAGCCCATTTGTGATTTCAACTACTGCAAAATCCCCGTGGTTTATTTACTATCCCTGTTTTATAGAACGGTGGTTCTCAAACTCAAGTGTGTCGCAGAAGCCCCGGAGGGCTTGTTAAAGCGCGTTACTGGGCCCCACCCTCGGTGCCTCTGATGCAGAATTTGTATTACTAACAAGTTCTCAGGAGGCGCTGATGCAGTTCTTCCCAGGGGTTATTGTCCCTGTCGTATGGTTGAGGAAACTGAGGCTCAGAGAAGTCGTGCGACATTCCCAAGGTCCCGCAGCTAGAAAGTTTGGGAACTACGACCCCAGCCTCGATTTCTCTGGCACCGACGCTGGCGCTCTTCCTCACTGCTCACAGCAAGCGCTACTTGCTACCTATTTCTTCTTCCCCAGAGAAGCCAACCGTTTTCTGCCTGTTTTTTATTTTTCCAGTGTGGGCCTACCAAGGGAGCCATGAGATCACTTGCTCCCTTTCATCTCTCTAAACCAAAGCAATAGCTAGTGAGTGGTGGCGGTGGTTTCCTGCGCAGCGGCCGGCTTCAGCCTCGGCCTGCTGGGATCAGCCGCTTCGCAGAGGACGCCGGTGTGGGCAACAGCCGGGCACCTTGGGGAGGCTGCGAGGTGGGGGCCGCCACTTTGAGCTGAAAGGCTTTTCAGGTTGCAGGGCCGGGGGAGAGATTGGCTCTTTCTAACTGCCTGGGTTAGGAATGTACAGGCAGAACGTTGTCTAATCTTCCCCAGCTCAGACAAGAGAAAAATGTGTCTCTGCTCCCTTAATTGGGCACTGGGGTTCATTCTGTCGGCCATTTGTTCACTTGTCAGACGTTCACTGCGTTTATTCTTGGAATATTTAGGGTTTCCCCGATTCTTTCATTTATTCAACGGGACTGAGCCCAACTCGGTGCCGGGCTTTGAGTGGGGGGCTGCAGGGGGGAGCAGACAAGACACAGCCGTGGTCTGATGGCACTTACGAGCCAACAGGAGAGATTCCGTCCTTCCTTCCTTCATTTGTTCATTCGGCACATACATACGGACTGCTGGCGATGTGCCCGCGCAGGAGTAGGTGTTGGGGTCTCAGCGGTGTGATTCGGGGCTGAGTAAACAAAGTAGAGCCGGGTAAGGGGTGGAGCAGAGCGGGGAGCTGGGTGTGGGGCCATCAGGAGGGCTCGTCTGGGGGGTGATGTTTAGAGTATAAATGAGAAGGCTCCAGCCGTGGAGATACCTGGGCAAGAGTAGACCAGACAGAGGAAACGGCCAGTGCCAAGACCCCAAGGCAGGAGCAGCCGGACATGGTCGTAGAAGATGGAGGAGGACAGAGTAGCGGGAGCGGAGTGTGGGCAGGAGGGGGACGGACACTAGAGCGGTCGCGGAGCAGAGCACGGGAGCCTCACCGGTTGGGATCCAGAGACAGATTTCACCGTGTGGTGAGAAGGGGTTGAGTGTTCTGAACAGAAAAGTAATGTGACGTCGTTTGTGCATTCTGAATGTGGAGACCGCAGTGCAGCAGGGCAGGGATAGAGGGGCCAGGAGACCAGGGAGGAGGCTCTTCACGCATCTGGGGAGCCGGGATGGGGAAGGGGACACAGTGGCTGGGTTGGACAGATATTTTGGAGGTGGAGCCCACGAGCCTTGCGGTGGGTTAGACGAGGGTTGTGAAGGAAGAAAGAGAACAAGGGTGACTCCCGCGTCTCCAGCCTGGCAGAGCTGTTCGCTGAGACAGGAAAGACCAGGGGAGAGAGGGACATGAAAAAAGGGGGTAACTGGTCACAGTCTGAAATAAAGCTTTGAGAGAGACAAACCCAGTGTTGAGTTTGGGGGTTCAGCGAAGGTTTCTCTGGGAAAGGGATATTTAAAATAGCATCTGAGGGAAGAGAAGGAATGAAGCAGATGAAGAAGCAGGAAGGACTGGGTGTGCAAAGCCCCTGCGGCGCCTGGCATTCATTCCAAGTCACTTTTTGAGCACCTGTGCCCACGTGGTGAGGAAGCACGGCAGACAGACAGCAGTGTACACCAGACGTGCAAATATGCAGGGACGTCTGAGATTGTCACAGAGGGGCAGCCCAGCCAGCCCAGCACTGTTGGAAAGGCCTTCCCAGGGAGGTGACACCGTAGTTGAGTCTTGAAGGAGACACGAAAGTTAACCAAGAGAAAAAGTGGTCAAGGCAGTCATTCACGGCTGTTATTGAAGCATGAAGTGCCCCCCTGAAATAGGTGGTGGGTGGCTAAGTGGGAACTTGAGGGCAGGGGAGTGAATGAGCCAGACCACGTGGGGCTCTGAGCAGGGTGATAAGTTGGACTTGGACCAGACAGCCAGTGGGGAGCCCCAGAAGGCTGGAAGCCGGCGGGGTGTGGCTGGATCTGTGTGGTCTCCCCTAGCAGACGTGTCCCCGCTCCTGGAGGGCTGTTTGTGCAGCCACGTGGGGCTTGCCATTGCCCCAGAACTGCTTGTTGAGCCAAGCACCCGTGCCAACTCCATTAATAACCCAACGAGCAGTCCAGGCCCCATTGCTCATTTCTGACAGTATCCAGGCTGACGTCCCCAGCGTTGCCAGCTTGGGAACTTACATGGCTCCTGCCCAGCCGGTGGCCCTGGTTTGCTCATCACCTTAACCCTGCCCTCTGGTGAGCCAAGCCTGGCCTCCAAGGACAGAGTCAAGTGCATGAACAACTTCTTTGATTAACCAGCACACCCTTGGTCTTTCCCTTTCCTTTTATTAATGATAATACATAGATGTTCACAACATAGAACATTTGGAGACTGTGAGAAGCTAAAATGAAGAAAAAATACCGTGCAGAGACCACCGTGGTTAGCATTTTGCGGTGTTTCCTTCCAGTGTTACCCACACATTTTTCATAATTGAGATAATCCCACAGAGAATTCCGCTTTTTCACTTATCGTTTTAATGTAATCATTTCTAATTTTAAAGAAATGCCGTCTTATAAACCTTTTAAATCTTTATCCGTGAATTTATCCTAATTTCCTTAACCAGTCCCAATTGGCAGAGCCCTAAGATGTAAACCTCCCTCCCCCATCGCACCCGTGATAAATGCCTTTGTGTTTGAAGCTTTTTCTATATTTTGAATTCCTCCAAAAGAAGTGCAAGTATGAGTCAAAGGATGAGAACACCTTCCAAGCTTTAGATTTTGCCAGCTGCTTCCCAAAAGGTTGTGCTGGTTTCCCTCTCCCACCAGCAACACTCGAGAGTGCCAGTTAGTCTCCCCGTGCCTCCCCCAACACCGAGTATTATAATTTTTAAAGATCCTTGCCAGTAGAGTAGGTTCAAAGAAAAAAAAAAGATAGTGCATTGTTTAAAATTCCTTTTTAGTGAGATTGACCTCTTTGTCCAAACATGCGATAAGCAGTTGTGTTTCTGTTGTGAACCGCTCACCCATGTCCTTTACCCATGTAGGAAGTGGAACCTAAATGTTATGCTTATCAATTTGCATGAGCACTTGAGATAGTGAGGGTATTTTTATCTGTGTGTGTCTCTTGCCTTTTTAGGTTGCATGAGCCCGAGAAGAATGCCAGAGAAATAACCCAGGTACAGTCCTTGGTGAGACGCCCTTCCTGGGAATCTCCATCGTATGATTTCCTTGCATCCACCGGAATTGCAGATGCGAATCTAAATTAAGGCTCTTGCTGGGAGGGGAGGGGTGGGGTGTGGAGGATCTTACATTCCTCACTTCCCCTGTGTCCCCGGTGCTGCCCATGGCACAACTCTGGGGGGCCTCTGTTCACAATATGTCCTATGTCAGTGGTGCCCTGGAGCCAGGCTGCAGCCTCCCTCGGTGTGGACTGTCCCTTCCTGCCTCTGCGCATTTGCCCAGGCCGGTCCCCTCTGCCGGACGCAGCGTCCCTGTGGCCCGGCTCTTACAGAAAGGAACAGCCCAGCACAGCCTGCCGGGGCCTCTCTTACCTTTGCTGATGAGAAGACCCCGCGTCATTAAGGACCTCACACCAGGGCACACTCCCTCTGGCTGGTGCTTTCTGGTCCACGTTGCTGAGGCGATTTTGCAGGCACCGTGGTTATAGAGAAACCTAGCCCTGCTTATCACCGGCGGACACTGTCAGACCTCGGAGGCCGAGGGCTCCTTAGCGTCTTGTAACAAGACAGGCCTTGCTCTGAACCCAGAACGAGGGAGTGCCAGCTGCCCTTGGCATTCCCCAGGCCGTTGTCATCATTTTAGATGTCATCTGTTGAAGGAGTCGGGCCGGTGATGGCATCTGTGGGCCAAAACGCCTCGGTCTGCTGTCGCGACCCATGGGGCACCCGGCAGCCCTGGACACGAGCTCAGGTTGTAATTAAGAAAAACAAAACAATCTCCAGTCATGGGAGAGGGAGGCCTTCTCCTTGGTCATTTTACATCTGGACTTCCTTCTGGAATCTTCTGAGGGAAAGAGGACGGTGAAAGGAATTGGTCACTGAAACCTGCACGAAATTCACATTCAGCAAAGACTGACCTCACAGCCACCGTGTGCCCCGCAGGGAGCAGGACAGTCAGGGCCCCGCTCCTGTGCAACTGGCGGTCGTACCTCAGTTTCCCAGTGCCAGGGGCCAGTCTTCGCCAGGCAGGGAGTCGCAGCCCGTCGACGTGAGCTCCTGGACAGGAGCGAAGTGGGCACACCCCGGGCTCAGGACAGAGGAGCCGTGTCCTGAGAGCACAGCCTCAGAGTCCCGCAGACTGGTTCTTTGCCACCTGGGTGACACTGACCAAATCATTTAACCTCCCTCGGCCTCAGTTTCTTCACCTGTAAAATGGAATCCATAATCCTTCCCGAGCAGGGTCGTCGTAAGGCCTGAATGGGGTGACCTGTGTGATCACGTGGCACGTGTGGGCCCCGAGAGCTGAGATCAGCTGTTACTATCATGCGGCAACTAGAAGCCGTGGCAGGTGGGGGTAGCTCCACGCTGCTTCTGCCGCACAGGTGCCGCGCACACAGGGAGCAAACTTTGTAATTCACGATGGGCAGTTCTGAGGCAGCAGTGATGAGATTAACACACGGGAGGTGTTCGGGTTTGCTAAGTGATGGATGATCACTGGCGTTCATTGAACGTAAAAGCTCCGTATGTGCCGGGCTCTGTTCTAGGTGTTTCGCCTCGATAATCTCCTTTGATCCTCTCAGCAGCCCTGGCAATAGATACTATTATTATCCCCACTTTACAAATGGGGAAACCAAGGCCCAGAGAGGTTAAGTGAATTGTCCAAAGTCCCTCAGCTGGAGAAGGCAGAACCAGGATCCAAACCCAGGCCTTCTGACTCCAGAACATTCACCACCACGCCAACCGGTGGTCTCGTTCTCGCACAGCCCCTGTTCCCTGTCTCCCAGGGCCCAGCTCCACCCTGAGCGAGGCTGACATTGTTGCCACCCACTCTATCATTCATTCAACATGGGTCAAGCTTCTGTGGCAGCCTTGGTATTTGCATCCTAACAAACACCCAGTGAATGTCTGTTGAGTAAACTAGTAAGTGAATGGAGGTCCCAACCCACGGGGACAGCAGCATCGACTCAGGCCCCCAGAGGGACACAGTCCTGGGTGTCGCACACTCCGCTGGGGAGTGAGGGGCTGAGGAGCGCAGAGAAGGAGCCCTGGGGCCAGCCAGGGGAGTGCAGGGCAGGGCAGGGCCTTGGGGGAAGCCACGCTCAAGCTCAAGCTGACGTTTACAGGGTGGGCTGGGATTCAATACAAGGAGAAGGGACCACACACGCCAGGGACGGACATGGGAAAGGGGCAAGACCTGCAGGTGGCTCGGGCTGGAAAGAGGCAGGAGTGGGAGGAGGGACACTGAGGCGAAGCTGTAGGGTGACCCCACTGCAGTTCAGAAGGACACTGCAGGCACGAGGGGGAAGGTGGACGGGAAGGGGTAGGGCTGGAGGCAAGTGGCTTTGGCATCAGGGGACCTGAATTAGGGCCGAGCCAGTACGGGCCACGAGGAGACAGAAGCATCCAGACCTGGTACCCAGTTCTGGTGAGCAGACCAGGGGCCCCAGAATGAACTTCTCTCCATCTCTTTTAGATCCAGGACACAAATGACATCACCTATGCAGACCTGAACCTGCCCAAGGGGAAGAAATCTGCCCCCCGGGCCGCTGAGCCCAACAACCACACAGAGTACGCCAGCATTCAGACCAGCCCGCCGCCCGCGCCCGAGGACACCCTCACCTACGCCGACCTGGACATGGTCCACCTCAACCGGACCCCCAAGCAGCCGGCCCCCAAGCCCGAACCGTCCTACTCGGAGTATGCCAGCGTCCAGGTCCAGAGGAAGTAAACGGGACCGCAGCCGGCTCTAGGGCCCGTCCCCACGGGCTTTGTTGTCCCACGTGGAGCGGCCGTGGTGAGGACAGCCAGCCCAGTTCCCGGAGGGCCGGGGCGGCGCAGGCCCTGGGACCAGGGTGAGGGCGGCTCTCCAACACTTGCAGGGTAGCCTCGGCCCCCTCGTTGCCGCACATCTGGAGGCTGACGTTGCCAAACCAGCCGGGGAACCGACCTGGGAATTGGCCAGAGCCGCCTGGGGTCCAAGAACTCTTGTGCCTCTTTCCACCAACACGTGGGTCTTGGAGACCCTTGACTGCCTCCTTGATGCTCCAAAGCCTGATCTTCCAGGGTGAGGAGGAGAAAACCCCACCTCCCACCACCACTACCACCCAACTGGGGCTTCTGGGGAAAATTTTCCCTTTAGACTAAACTGCCCCATTCATAGAGAAGCTGGAAGAAACTCTGGAACCCACATCCCGTGACTTGGTGAGGTTGCTGCCAGTGGTCCTGGCCTCCCCTATCCCTGGGCCGAAGAGCCACAGCCCTAGAGGAGGAGGGGACCCTCCAAGGAACCCCCCTCCCCCCATAGGACCTGGCGACAAAACCCTCCTCTTCCTCGGGCCCCTCCGTGACTCCTTGGGGCCCAACTGTGATGCTCCACCTGGACCCGCCTCTCCTTTCTAGACCCAAGCTTGCTCCCTCCAGCTAGCACTAAGCAACATCTCGCTGTGGACGCCTGTAAATTATTGAGAAATGTGAAACGTGCAATCTTGAAACTGAGGTGTTAGAAAACTTGATCTGTGTTGTTTTCGTTTTGTTTTTTTCTTAAAACAACAGCAGCATTATCTTGGCTCTGTCACGTGTTGAAGTACATGGTTGGGTCTTGTGAAGTCTGAGGTTTAGCAGTTTGTTGTCCTGGAGGGATTTTCTTACAGCAGAAACCGAGTTCCTCCTAGTCCCAGAGCCCTGAGGACAGGCAAGAAGGATCCGTGTGGCTGCTGTCTGGAGACACTTAGCCTCCGTGTTGGGACTGTCGTGGCCGTGTTCTCAGACGAGCCGTGTGGCTGGTTCTTCTGCCTTCCGTGACCCCACTGTGGTAAGTCCATCCTGCCCGGGGCTTCTCTAGGCTGCCTCTTGTCCAGACCTAATGCCTCAGTCTGCTCATCTGTAAAGTGGGGAGAGTAAAGGTGACACCCGTCCCCACCACTTCTCACAAGCACTTTAGGGACGTGCAGAGGCCACTGAGCCTGGCCGTTTGCCCCACCCCTTAGCGACTGCCCCCTTCCAGATCCTTGAAGCAGGAATCTTCCACTTCCGCTCTCTAACCCTATCGGGATCAAACTGGAATGAATCAAAGGCAGGCAGGGGGGTGGCACAGCTGTGAAGCCAGGGCTGACCCACCCTCTGTCCCTCCATTCCAAGAGGATGGGCAGAGGCTGTGACCCAGTCACCCTTTGATCCCCACCCTTCCAACTGGGTGTGAGGGCCTGGCTGGGCCCAGGGCAAGCAGACTTGCAAGCCCTGTTGATTCAGTCTTAATATATGACTCTTAGGGGTGAGATGTGTGTGACCCCCTAGCCATGGGATGCCCCAGGGATTCTTGGCTCAGGCTGTAGAAGTGGCATGTTGAGCCATCCTGCCCATTCCTGGAGTTCCTACAAGTGAAACTTGGGAGCTCAGCAGAGACCCAGCTCTCTGGGGGATGGTGACTTGGTGTTTTCCATGATGGCATCCAGGAAGGAGCTGAGCCAACAGACCATGTGGACAGCTTTGGCCCTATGAGCCAGAGCTCTTCTGGCATCTGGGAGCCACAGTGGCCATGGCCACCTGGCTCGGGCTGTTTCCAAATTCCAAAAGGTTGGCTCGTAAACCTTCTTCCTCTCTTCTGCTCAGAGACAGCGCACGCGTGTGCACCCACACGCACGCACACATGCATACACACATACAGAATTTGAAAAGAATGTTTTCTTGGTGCCATTTGAATTTAATTTTATTTTAATTCTTGGAGGGGAAAATAAGGGAATGAGGCCACGGAAGACATAGAGCTTTAGCTTCAGCCTGGCAACCTGGAGATTCCCCATACCTTGTGTATCGAGCCCCAGGGAAAGGAAGAGGTTGAACCAACCCTGTGGAAGGAGTGTGGTTTCAGGAGTTTATTTTAAGACTGCTGGGAAGGAAACAGGCCCCATTTTGTATATAGTTGCAACTTAAACTTTTTGGCTTGCAAAATATTTTTGTAATAAAGATTTCTGGGTAATAACGACTCCTTCAGGTGTTGAGTGTCCTTGTCTTTGTGAGCGGCATGTCCTGGGGCCTCCTCAGGGGCTGGCGTCCACCTGTCCCCAGGCTCAGGGCTTCGAAACAGTCTGCAGAGTGTGGTCCTCCCACTTAGGTTTAACAGACATAAAACTTCTGTTTTCCCGGGCTCATGAGGAGTTTATGTAAAGTTGGGACAAAAATCCAGGCAGACAACTGAATTTGGATCTGTCTCTGCCACTCTGTAGCTGTGGGAATTTGGACACTCACCTCTCTGAGGCTTGGGCCCCTCATCCGCACAAGGGGGGCAGTAATACCCCTGTGAGGGTGTCCGTGGGGATCAAAGGAGGTAACAGGCACTGAGGCCAGGCCTGGCGTGGGCAGGGTTGGGTCTTTCCTTCCTGCCCTAGCCCTGCACAGCTGGGTCTGGTGGCCCCTCACCACCGCTGGCGTCTTGGACATCTGGTTCTTTCCGAAGCCTGACTTTCCTCCTGCACCAAATGCAGAAATCTAGTGCTTGAGTCCTGTAATATCCTTGCCAGATGACTTATGTCAAGTGCTGATATATAGTAAGTGTTTAATAAATGTTAGTTTCTTTACCCTCCCTCCATTAGATTATTAATGATATTGGTGATAATTATGTAATAAAGTTAATGTATTCATATAATAGTACTATTTAGTGGTTACTATGTGTCAGCATTTTACGTTAACTCCTTTCCATCTTATAATTTGATGAGGTCAGTAATGTTATTAACCCCCTTTTATAGACAAGGCACAGAGAGGTGGTATGACTTATACAGCATCAAACAGCTATGTTGCCCCGAGTGGGGTCAGTGGCATCATCATAGCTCACTGCAACCTCAAGCTCCTGGGCTCAAGAGATTGTCCTGCCTCAGTCTCCCAGGTAGCTGGGACTACAGGTGCACGCCATGATGCCCGGCTAATTTTTCTATTTTTTAGTACAGACAGGGTCTCTATCTTGCTCAGGCTGGTCTCGAACTCCTGAGCTCAAACGATCCTCCCACCTCGGCCTCCCAGAGTGCTAGGATTACAGGTGTGAACCACCGCGCCCGGCCTTTATTGTGGTTAATTTTGCGATCAGTGCTCAACATATGATATTATTAACTCACTGGTTAGGCATCAGGCACTGAAGTCAGACAGCTGGAGTTTGAATCTCAGTAACATCCATAACAACCACCATATGACGTAGGAACTTTTATTCTCTGTGTTTTACAGCTGAGGAAACCAAGGCACAGAGGAGTCATTTCCCCATTTGTCCCATGGCAGTGCCAGGGTTTGAAGCCAGGGAGTCTGACTCTTCCCCACCACACTGTGCTTATTGCCTCGTTTAATTCTCGTAACTATCAGATGGCCGTGGTTGTGCCCATTATGCAGAGAAGGAAAGATGAGGCTCCACAAATGCATGTGACATGGCTAATGTCATACAGTGAATCTTCAGTCAAGCTGAGGCTTGAACTCAGATCCACAAGCCCACTGGGGATCATCCCTATACCCTTGGCCTGCTCTGTGTGATCAGGGAGCACCTGGGGGCTCAGAGAGGCCGCCTGCCTCACAAGCCACGACCTTGGCTGTGGCTCTGACGGAGAACGCAGCAGGCTCCTGGCCCTCGGCCTGAGTTCAGCTCTCCGCCTCCCTTGGGGCCCAACCCGTGAACTATGTGCAGCGCTTGCAGGAATGGGGTGTTCAAGGCACGAATCCAGGCCGAGTGGGTGGGGAAATGCCTTTCATTTTCTGGAAAGGTGGGGGATGATGGACTGCATGTCCAGGCAAGGAGACTCGGGGGAGGTATTTTATGCAGCACCTGGGCCTCGCTTCTCCACGGCTCAGATCTCCAGGGCTGGACGTTGGCAGGCGAAACAAAAGTTGATGGGAGCTAAGTGGCCCTTTCTCCGCCCGCCAGGAAATCAGTCAAGCATTTGGCATTTATCGGGCACCCCCTCGGGGTTCCTCGTGATGCAAAGGAGAAGGATCAGACTCCCTCCTTCCAGGGGACCAGCCTGAGGCCCCTGCCTTCCTCCTGAAGCTCTTGCCCATTTTACATGATAATCAGGAAAACCTTCACCTGGCCTTCCAGATCTGCATGCCCAACAGGAAAAGCCCCTGGGGCTTCTAGCACATTTCCAGCAGCCAAGATTTGAATGGGGGTTATGTATTCAATTTTTACATAAGTACATACTACATATCAGTTACTCTTAAACTCTGCACAAACATTCACTTATCTAGTAGCAATTCACTTCATCCTCTTAACAAACCTGTAAGGTGGGTACTGTGATTATCCCCCATTTCCTAAAGAAATGGCAACAGAGAGACTGAGCAGCTTGCTCCAAGGCCGCCATCTGGGAAGTGATGCCCAGTAGGCACTGGCTGGGCGTGATGGGAGTCTGGGGGCTGCCGGAGGGACCGTGGTGGTGTTGAGGACGCACTAGACTCTGTCCGTAGCCAGGAAGCGCAGCATAGTCTCACCACCAAAGCATCAGAGTGTCAGGGCAGAGCAGTCATCTGCCTGGTCACCTCCCCGGGGCTCAGCCTGCCACTGCTGGGGTCCCCAGCATCCTTTATTCACCACAGCACCGTGTCTGACCAGGGTCTTGGTTTGTTTTCTGAATGCGGGATTATGACATCGAAGATGCATTTCAAAAAGACATGAGTCCCAGATGTTCAAAAGCAGGCAAAACCTTGGCAACAGAAGTCAGAAGAGCTGCTGCCTTGGGGGAGGACCAGGAACGGACTGGGGAGCGAATGTTCTGCGTCTCCCCAAGCGGTGGTTACCTGAGGGTTTACATGCGTAAAAGCTGGAGCTGTACACAGAGTGTGTGCATTTCCCTGGATGTGTGATACCTCAAATCTTTAAAAAGACGGGTGCCCCGTTCTCCCCGCCGCCCCAACCTTTGATGCCTGCCCCAATTTGGCAGTTTTTTAAAGATGGTGTCAATGCCTTATCTGTGGTCCCTGAACGCACCCCAGGTGAGGGGCCCAAGGAGTGTTGTTAATTTGAAAGACAGCATCCCAGTGACCAAAATAGCACATGAAACGGTGAAAGAAAAGATGCCAAACTGGGCCCGAGAACAAGGACGGCTGCAAGGATAAGCCATTATCTGTCATCGCTCCGTCTCCTGGGACTCCCTTAGTCACTGTCCTCCTCCCCCACCCGGGGCATCAGAGGCAGCTGCACCACTGAGCCCTTGCCCTGCGACCTTGGGCAAACAGAGTCGCCGTGAGCCTCCATTTTCTCCCCTAGGAAGTGGGGGTAGTCGTGGTCTCCACCTCGGGGGCTCCAGGGAGGGTCAGATGAGAGAAGAGACTTAGACTCTCTGATTGTGGTGGTTTTCTTTCTGGCGCGTTTGTTAAGTTTTCAGATGGGCCTGACTCTGCCACATGCATCGGAGCTGGCAAAGGCTTGATGACAGAGATGGCTCCGAAGCCTTTTCTGCACCAGAGACTGGCCCCCACACGCGCAGGCCGTGAGTCTAAGTCCTTGCAGACAGGCTGGCGCAGGCCGAGGAGAGTCCGTGCTGAGGGGAGCCCCCCAACCCCGGGAAGGAATTGAAGGAAAAAAAAAAGGAAAACAAAAACAAAACACCACACTTTGCAGCAGTGTGGTGCAGACAGCAGTCACCACACACACAGACATACGTGCACTCACGCACACAATAGCATACACACTCACGCCCACTCACACATTCACACCCACACACACATTCACACACACACATTCACACTCAAATTAACTCACATACATTCACGCCTACATATTCACACTCACACTCACAAATTCACATTCACACATTCACACACATTCACACCCACACGCTCACAAATTCATTCACACATTCACACTCAGGCATTCACACCCACATACGTTCACACTCACACACATTCACACCCACACACACGTTCACACCCCACACACATATTCACACACTCTCACGTACAACTTCACACACGCATTCACACTCACGCATTCATGCCCACACACATTCACACTCACACACGTTCACACCCACATGCTCACACATTAAGGCCAGGCTATCAGAGCAGCTCTACAATGGTGGGTCTTCTCTTCTGACTGAAATAGTGTTGTCAAGTCCCTCCCTCCCTCGTTATCCTGAGATAACGCCCCCTCACCAACCCTGGGGAACCCAACACCCCAGCCTGGTTTGCAAGGTCCTCTTCCTTGACCTATTTAAGGACATTCCCTGTTCCTCTCCAGCCCCAACTGGACTCTGGCCAGGCTGGTCTTCCTGTCCCACCACGTACCAGGTAGAGCCTCCGTCGCCTGCGCAGGCCTCACAGCGAGTCACTCCTCCTGTGACTTGGTGTCCTTCCAACCAGACACGAGCCCCCCAACACCAGAATGTCATGTTGGGATCCAGCCCCAGCAGAAGGGAGATGAAAGTCCACTATGTGCCGGACAGGATCCCTGGCACTTGAATTTTTTATTTCACAGAACCTTTGCATCCTTTGCAGATGGGTGCTATGATGTCCATTGTACAGATAAGAAAATTGAGGCCCAGAGAGGTGAGGAGATAAACTCACTATCATCTATTCAGCCAACAATTATTGCTCAAGCTCTTACTGGGAACCTTGCCCGGTGCAAAATTCTGAGGATACAATGTTGACTAAAGATGGGTCACACCCCTATGAGCTCATGGGGTGTGAGGGCGCCAGAGCTGGCCATCGCAACGCAGGGATGAGTGCTGCTAGGACGCGGGGGTGACAAACAGGATACATACAAATACGGAATGAACTAGCATTAATGAGTCAGCCAGCAGGAGGGAAAAGCAGCTTCCAAGAGTAAATGGGTATTTACAGGCCTTGAAAAAGGAATGTGAGAATAAAATTTTCAGGTTAGATATAAATCTGGTTAATGTTCTACAAGGCAATAAAACCATACCTTTGGAATTATCTTTGCTGCCAGACAGAAGTCATTTGCTCCTCTACCAGACAAAACTGTATAAATTAGCATGTAGCTTTATAAAATCTGGGCCC